TTTTTTTTTTTTTTTTTTTTTTTTTTTTTTTTTTTTTTTTTTTTTTTTTTTTTTTATTCCAGTATCTTTTGGTTTCAGGGGTAAAAATTCGGACAATACCTTTAATAATACGAAATTCTGCTTTGCAGGTTGGGCCTGGAAAACTTCATTTCAGCTTCACTGGTATTTTAAATGATAAAATGCGAGGATTTTATCGCAGTAAATATACCCATCCCAATGGAGAGACAAGGCATGGGGCAGTCACACAGTTTGAGGTAAGGTTATATTACTTACACTGAATAAGGTGCTGACACAAGTAAAATGTGTTGATGGTACTTGGAGATAAAGAGAAAAGTTTGTTTCTGCTGTGTGGAAAAAAAGTTTTTGTATTTATCTTCTAAATTATTCTCACAGTTTATTTCTTGTTTGATTTTTTTTATTTTTTATTATAGTTGACTTTTATTGCCATGTTATTTATTCATGGAAGTGATAAGAAGAAGGATGGTTGTAGATTTAATATAATTAATGAGTATTTGCTGTAGTATATTTGCACCATAATAAAAAGCTTGTATTTTCTGTGTAGGCAACAGATGCCAGGCGTGCTTTTCCATGTTGGGATGAGCCAGCAGTGAAGGCTACATTTGATGTCACTCTGGTCGTCCCCAAGGACAGGGTGGCTCTCTCAAATATGGTGAGTGATCAAATACTATTGCTTGACTCAGAACAGCTCTTCACATGTGCTAAATCTTTAAAGTAAAAATATGTGCAATTTGAAAAAGAAATCAGAAATATTCAATGTGGTATTAATTTTCATATATTAGGGATATCATTCAAGCTGTGTCGCAATCCTTCTCTCAAACATGACCTGTGATTCGAATCTGCATGAAATATCATTTCAGCCAGTCGAATCTGAGACTGCTTTGGAATCCGATTCCAACCTGAAGGTTTTAAAGTATGGCCGCACACCTGTGATGTCTACCTACCTGCTGGCGTTTGTTGTGGGAGAGTTTGACTATGTGGAGGCCAAGGATGCTGACAATGTCTTGGTCCGGGTGTACACTCCTCTGGGAAAGAAGGAACAGGGACAGTTTGCCTTGGAGGTACACATTGTTGCCCATTCCATGAAATAATACAGGCCCTTAGACAGGGGTGAGGGGTGGATTCAAGATGGGGAGAGGTATAAGGTCCACTTCTTCGAAACAAAACTTGGGAGTTCAACTTCTTGGAAATGCTCATCGTCCCCCCACTTTTTCAGAGAAAGAACCCTCTATGAAATTTCTGTCTACAGGCCTTAATAACTTGAATTTTTAAAGAGGTAAAGATAAATGGGCATAATTTTAAATAATGCACTAAGAAAAATGGTAAATTGTTTTTATAATGACTGATTGTTAATTATCATGTTTAAATGGTTTCTAGTTGGATTGTATGCAGGAATGAGATGAGGCTTCAAATTGTGCATTGAGTTCCTCTGTTGAATTGGGAAAAATCTAATTTTGATCAAATTTTCACTGTTTCTCATTCTTTTACACAACTGTAGCTTTCTCTACCCATTACCTCGTAACATAGCTTGAATCCTCATCAATACAACTGCAGTTTTGAAGTTAAACTCCATAAGACTTTGATCAATTTTCAGTCTCCATGTTCCAGAACAGGATATGCAGATCCTTAACAGAATTTCCAACTGATCTTGAATTCCAGGTTTCCTGCAAAACTCTTCCTTTCTACAAGAATTATTTCAAGCTTGGATATCCACTGCCCAAAATTGACCTGATTGCCATACCTGACTTTGCCTTAGGTATGTCCTAAGTTGATGGTGTGTACATGTACTCATCACTGCACGCACACCTGGATCAACTTTGACTGGATATCTGCCTAAAAGGCATTATCAGACAATCAAATACTGGAGACACTTGTCATCCTGTTGTCAACCCTAGTCTGGTGATGTGTTCTAGGCTGAAGTCTGGTTTTAAATCTCTCTTGTCTGTAGGCAGATGAAGTGTGCTTAGCATGTTGTGCACAGTTGGTACAACTGTAGTCCTCTCTATCTGTGTTGTAAATGACGTGTGTTACTGTTGTTACAGGTTGCCACGAAGACACTACCTTTCTACAAGGACTATTTCAAAATACCTTACCCACTCCCCAAGATGGACCTTATTGCCATTGCAGATTTTGCTGCAGGTACTAATCATATCAGTAAAACATCAGAAAAGACGAAATGGTAGAAATCAAGATGAAATTGTAGAAATCAAGGCAGTAATCTCCTGGCAACTTTGACAACAATTTATTGTTACTAGGAGATTTACACTTTATATTTTTGCAAAAGAAGTATTGATTAGATAGAGCTGGTGAATGAACTTCCATCTTGGATGTGTCTGCATGGTGATATGATGTGTTGCACATTGCACATTAAATAGTCACATTTATTTCATTATTTACATTTTGTTCAGTATATGTATAATNCGAATACTATGAAAATTACTCTGTACCAGAAAAAAATTATTTTGGAATTTTTTAAAAATCTTATTTGACATCTGGGTGTTTGTAGGATTTATGTTGTATTTTTAGCAGTCCATATCTCTACACAGCTGGGGATATTACTTAAAATAAGAACAAGGTGACACTATAGCTTTCATGTTTTATCAAGTTGTAATTCAAAGATTTTATTCCCTAAATTTTGAAGTTAGAATTTAGGATGTAAACAAACATTTCTTTGTTTTTGGTACTACTTTAGAATATACCTAATATGACTCCCTGTTTCAGCCAATGATTCATCACTGTGGAAAGTCCCAGTGAAGATTTGTACTGCCAGTAGCCCTAGCATTCCTGTCAAAATTTTGTTACTAGAGGAAAAATCTGCCACTGTGGTCCTTGAGAATGTGAAGCCTGAAGACTGGGTTAAGGTGAGGACCATCTGTAGTCTTTGTGTCAGTATTTTTATATCTATAGAAGATCAGCATATGTCAACAAGGCTTTGTCTAAGAGAATGAAAGCCTAATCCATGAGCCTAAAAAAGCTAGATTAGATAGTCCTCTTCACCAGAAAGGGATGTGTGGTTGGAACTTCACTGTGCAATTGGGCCTTAACAAGATACTGGGTATATCGTTATTTTCTCTATTACTACTACTAGTCATCTATAATTCACACCTACCACACCTGCTGGCTTTTGTACCAGCAACCACAGCAGTCTTTCAACATTCCTCTCCACAGACAAGATGAGGAGGATTTCCTCTTCCTTCTCCCATCTGTTTCAGTTCTGTTTCAACAAATTGTTGTGCTGTGTTTTAGCCAACAGGGTCTAAGAATAGCTGGACCAAAACAGAAAGAGCAACCAATAACCAAACAAGCATGCAAAGTTTTACAGGCACAGCATCAAATATGCTGCCATTTGGGTTCAGTGCTTAGGCCACGTACAGAGAGTATTTGGTAGGCTTATGTACTCTTCAGTATTATTGTTTGAAATGGGTGTGTATCTGTTCCTCTCCCCAGGTGAACCCAGGCTCTGTGGCATTCTACCGTACCCAGTATTCCACCACTATGTTGGAGGCACTACTCCCTGGGATCAGGAGTCATGCACTTTCACCCAGAGACAGACTCGGATTGCAGAATGATCTCTTTGCACTGGTAATAATATCCCTTGAAAGTTTTTGACATATCAGAACTTAAAGGTTTTCACAAGTTTTTGTGCTTTTTAATGTGTTCACATCCATAGCAAAGTGATTAAAGGAATTAATGCTCATGAGACTTGATTAGAATATAAGTAATGCTAGAGTGTATGTATAAAACAGTGCAACAGAGTAATATTGGCCTACTGGTGATTACTGTGATAATCTTCTTAAATAGCTCATATTTGTCAATTTTTTCTATTTGTAGGCCATGGCTGGGACCATCTCCGCTGTCGATGTCTTCAAAGTCCTGCCAGCATTTGAAACAGAAGACAACTACACAGTGTGGTCCGACCTGGCCACCAACCTGGCCAACATGGCTGTTCCTTTGCAGTACACGGATTTCTTCGACTCCTTCAAAGCATTTGGATGCAAGCTGTTTGATAAGATTGCACAGAAACTTGGTTGGGATCCCAAACCAAAAGAGAGTTAGTAAAAAAACATAATTTAGATAATTGTTGGTTGACTCTTAACATCAGTCACAACTCAAAAAATTATCAGTCTGTGAAACTGTTTGAGTCATGGCAGTTTTTGTGCGATAAATATATATTTATAAGTATAGGTAACGAAATGAGATATATTTCCCAAATGGATTATTCCAATCTTCAGTAAATGAGATACCATCTATTCTCTCCCCACCACTAAAAAGAAAATATATATCCTTGTACCTACAGTCACACACTGTTAATTAGTTAAATAATACATATCTGCAGATGTTCTCCAAAAAGAATTTTTTCATCCCATTTCATATCAAAATTGAAATAGGAAGGTATGGTTGTTTGTAATGCTTATTATTATATTAAATGGGATGAAAAATATTATAGGTCACTTGGATGCCATGTTACGTGGTCTGGTATTGGGCAGATTGGGTACTTATGGTCATGAGGCAACAGTGGCAGAGGCGAGGAAAAGATTTCAGGCACATGCAGAGGGCAGTACTATACTTCCTGCTGACCTAAGAGGACCAGTATGTATATATTTTTTTCTTTGGCATAAAGAATGTTGCACCATATTTAGGATTTTTTTCAGAGGGATATGTGTGACAAACTTTGAAGGTTTTTTATTCTTACAATGAATACGTACTTGACACTTAAGAGGGCTAAAATGGTATGTGTTTTAGTGGTTAGTATCTCGTTGAACTTTTAAATGATGATAATTCCTTTTCAGACTTATACTGTAGTGTTAAAGCATGGAGATGATAAAGTATTTGAACAATTACTCAAGGTAAGTTTTTTTTTTTTTTTTTTTAATGACAAAATTTGTCACTTGTGTAGCTAAACAGTAACACCCCATTTCCATAGATTAGATCGACCTACTTTAGATCGACCTAACTCCCTGGGGGTTCACGTTAAATAGCTGTCAGCCGGGCGGACACGAAAGTTAATTACCCCTTACAGTTTGTAGTAGGCGGGGAGGGACACTTAAGGGGGATTATCTGACAGTAATCTAGTGAGACTCCCCGCGGTGATAGATCGATCTAAAGTTGTGGGAATAGACCCTAAGACTATATTTCAAACTTTTTTCAGAATGGTGTTAATAATGGAATAGATATTTGAATTGAATAGTTGAGTTTTTATCAGCTTATTTTGAGTTTGAATTTTAATCCTGTTTGCTGTGATATTATAGTTGTTTCGAGCTGCAGACTTACATGAAGAGAAAGTGCGTATCATGAGAAACCTGGGAGCAGTGAAGCAAGACCATCTTATCAAGAGAGTGCTGGAGTTTGCAATGTCGGTAAGGAACTACCCCACCCACACTTCTTAACACTTCCAAAAGATGAATTGTAATGCTGATAACATCATCCTCTGTACAAAATACAGAAATTTAGGTAATCGTATTCGATTTAAGTACAATAACATTTTAAATTATGCCGCATTATGACCAGGTTTTGCATTTTATCTAGAAAATTTCTGAGACAAGTAAGTTTTTGTAAAAGCATCACTTCGTGGTGGCATGGTGTTACATATAGACATTGAATTAAATATATTTTTTGTTTTGTATTATAGGAAGAAGTGCGTTCCCAGGACACAGTTTTTGTTGTAGGTGGCGCAACAGGGACAGTTGAGGGTCGCGAACTGGTCTGGACATTCCTGAAGGACAAGTGGGATGTCCTCTATGAACGCTACGGACGGGGTTTCCTACTGGCAAGACTTATCATGGTAAATATCATGCTGGGCTTGTTGTTCAAAGAGAGGATTGGTGTAGTGTCCATGCTGAATTCATTGGCATGACTTTATGAGAAGAAGATTTAGTATAACAAGGTTTAATCTCAAACCAAACTAATAAAATGAAATATGTTTAAGAAGGACAATTTTATTTGCAAGAACTGCAGTATTAATCCCATGACATGGGCTAAGATGGACACAATGTTGTCCTCAACATGTTACTGTTGACCTTTTAGAGTTGACCTTACAGTGATACAATGGTGACCTTGGTTTTTTTTTCTCTTTTTAGTTTAGCACAGAGAAGTTTGCCTCTGAAGAAAAAGCGAAGGAGATTGAGGTTTGGGATGAATTGAAAATTACTTTTAAACAAAATTTGATATACATGAAAAGGCTTCTTTATTGCTAAATTAAAAGATAATAAGTATTCAGTTGTTTTAATTATGAATATTTTAAATTCAAAAGTTCTTGTTTTGCATAGTCATTTTTTTTCTGGAAAGGTTCATGTGACAAACAGTGTCTTCTTTTCTCACCAGGCTTTCTTTAAGGAGCACCCAGCCCCGGCTGCAGAACGTACAATACAGCAGTCTTGTGAAAACATCCGACTGAACGCCGCAATGCTGGAGAGGGACGCTGAAAACATTCGAGCTTTCTTGAAAAGCCAGGCATGATTGACACTTATGGTTACATGTACAACATAGAAAATCAAATTATGTAATCCCAATGACGTTCAAAGAAAATTTTGCCTGCTTCTTTTTGGTAGTGCAAGGTGAATTATTTTACTGAAGAATATTTTGCTTATGTTCTTGAATAATATATATCTGGCCACAGAAGTTGGTATGCAAGTGACCCACCCGCACTCACTGTGATCAGAGGGAAATGAGTTGACATAAATACAGATCAGAGACATTAATGAATTATATTTATCGCTTGATAATGTGGTGTTCTCTGGGAAATACAGCGCTGAAAAATATAATTATATACCAACAGTTACCAGTGTTTAACATTTGGACTTGTTTTGTCTTTGAAGAAAAATTTGGTTGCTTGCTTTGACCTAAGATCTAATAAACAGTTTATTAGATCTTAGCTTTGACTAGCACTTTAAAGGCAGGTAATTGAGAAAATTGTAGCATGATTATTCTCTTTGCTTTAAAGCTAAGATCTAATAAACAGTTTATTAGATCTTAGTTTAAAGATGAAAAATATGCGATGCGCATTCAACCTTTATTATAGCAAACATTAATTTCCCTGAAAATTTGATCAATTTTCCCTTGTTCACCTTGCGGTGAGACATATCCTTTGGAAACTGGATGAAAGTACGGTTGATAAATCTGTTTTTGAAGATTTAGAATTCTATTTTACCGTTTCGAGTGAAGTTTGTCAATCTCCATTATGAGAGTGATTCAAAAATAAACATTTTGTGTAAAGGTGTAACGTGCTGCAGTGACATCTGAAAGTATTTGATAGAATCCCCTGTCGATTCATTTTCAACTGCCGCAGAAGAACCAGGTAAAAGTTGAGTTGATTATCAAACTGCAGTAGTTGTTCTCGGTATATCATCGCATTGTATTAGTCGCGGTATGAAAGTCGCCTCTGCAGCATTGAGTGTTCGGCATCGAAAGGCATCTTCTGACTAAACTTCAGATATTGTTAGTAACTCCTAGTCCGATTGGAATATATCCAGACCGTATTTTTTTCACTCCTACTGTCCATCCCACAGACTATTAAAAACGTTCCCCAGCTGTTCCTTCGCCTTAGTAACTTGGCGGTATTATGAGCTATATGCACATTGGAGAGATAATGAAGAATAGGTCATTAGATTTTTTCGGATAGCTTTTTGTTTAATTTATAAAAAGAAAAGTATCGGATTTAATGGGTTGTCAGGGCATGCTTACAGTATGTAATTTTTTCCTTTTGTTTAATAAACGGTGTTAAAATTATTTCCGTGTTTGTTTTGAAACATTGTCGAAGAATTATGATGGCTAGGTTAAGTATCATGAAGAGCCTCTCCCTCTTGTGTGGTAAGCTATGAGGGGAATGCCACATCTCTTCGGGTAGATGTTGCTGTTTAAGTGAAAACCTGATTTCTTACATTTTATATTTGTCATTCTAATCTATGCTTCAATATAAAATTGAAGCAACTATCATGATTCACTGCAACAAAATAAAAAACGTATATAGCATATCTTTTACTATGCATTAAGTTTCTATTTTTGTGTTTTCACTCCTATATTATACATACACATTAGAAATAAATTGATATTGCTTATTTAACGGTTCCCAAATATTTCTATTAAAGTATTTTAATTAACGTTCTTTAAAGTGTTTGACTTCCTTTTGAATAGGTATGATAAATTGAAAAATGAGAAAAAACGAAGGTATTTTTCTCCACAAGCTTTCACGCAGGTATATAAACAGCTTCGTAAGTTTTGTTATGTTAAGTGGTAATGATCGCTTTAAAGTCTTGCAATTTATGAAAAACTTCAGTTCTTCGATTTTGGTTTCAAAAAAGTGCTACAATAAATCTCATTTACTTGAGTTACCGTGTCATATTTTTACCATGTCCAATTTATTATTACAGCAGAAAATTGTTCTGTAATAATTGCGACAATTTATCTTATTTTATCGAATACAAAAGAACTGATGTTTAAATAAAGCTAATTACATGGATTCGTCCCTTGATTCACGTGCTTCGCTTGCGTCAAGAAAACCAGCAAAAGTTTTTCAAGATGCCACGATCAGCTTTGCTAGCAACTTCAGGTTACATGGCTTCAGGCACAAATTAAGGACAAATTATAATCAACCATTAACGATCTTTATCAGAAGAGGAGGAGCGAAGCAAATGAAGTCTTTAGTGAAGCACAAATAATTGTCACCTTTAAGAGCTTCCCGCTGATTTTTTGTTTTGCTCTTGGCTTGCCTAGAGAGAACTTTTGTAAACAGAAATGGAATCACTTGAAACTAGCACACAGTATACCAACGATTTGTGTCCTAGCTTGAAATTAGCATTTGCTTGCTTTAGGAATATATTTTAATATATTAGTTGAAACTAGTATTAAAATATCTCCCAAATTTCGGTCACTGGGCTTAGTTATTCTCATACAAATGTCAATTGCGAAAAATACCTTATGATGAATTTTCGAATTTTTTTCTTTTCTCTTACTTTCGATTTTTATTTATTTATTTTGTATTTTCGATGGGATTTTCTGTCTATAACATTCCATTTTTGTTATATTGTTCTTTACCTTATTTTGTACCTATTCATTTTACGACCTTCTGTTAAGTTCCATCGAAATATACATAAAGTTTCTCTCTCTCTCTCTCTCTCTCTCTTATCATACCAACACTACATTTTCTACGGCTANTCTAATTATGCCGCATTATGACCAGGTTTTGCATTTTATCTAGAAAATTTCTGAGACAAGTAAGTTTTTGTAAAAGCATCACTTCGTGGTGGCAGGGTGTTACATATAGACATTGAATTAAATATATTTTTTGTCTTGTATTATAGGAAGAAGTGCGTTCCCAGGACACAGTTTTTGTTGTAGGTGGCGCAACAGGGACAGTTGAGGGTCGCGAACTGGTCTGGACATTCCTGAAGGACAAGTGGGATGTCCTGTATGAACGCTATGGACGGGGTTTCCTACTGGCAAGACTTATCATGGTAAATATCATGCCAGGAATGTAGCTTGTTGTTCAAAGAGAAGATTGGTGTAGTGTCCATGCTGAATTCATTGGCATGACTTTATGAGAAGAAAATTTAGTAAGACAAGGTTTAATCTCAAACCAAACTAATAAAGTGAAATATGTTTAAGAAGGACAATTTTATTTGCAAGAACTGCAGTATTAATCCCATGACATGGGCTAAGATGAACACAATGTTGTTCTCAACATGTTACTGTTGACCTTTTAGAGTTGACCTTACAGTGATACAATGGTGACCTTGGTTTTTTTTCTCTTTTTAGTTTAGCACAGAGAAGTTTGCCTCTGAAGAAAAAGCGAAGGAGATTGAGGTTTGGGATGAATTGAAAATTACTTTTAAACAAAATTTGATATACATGAAAAGGCTTCTTTATTGCTAAATTAAAAGATAATAAGTATTCAGTTGTTTTAATTATGAATATTTTAAATTCAAAAGTTCTTGTTTTGCCTAGTCATTTTTTTTCTGGAAAGGTTCATGTGACAAACAGTGTCTTCTTTTCTCACCAGGCTTTCTTTAAGGAGCACCCAGCCCCAGCTGCAGAACGTACAATACAGCAGTCTTGTGAAAACATCCGACTGAACGCCGCAATGCTGGAGAGGGACGCTGAAAACATTCGAGCTTTCTTGAAAAGCCAGGCATGATTGACACTTATGGTTACATGTACAACATAGAAAATCAAATTATGTAATCCCAATGACGTTCAAAGAAAATTTTGCCTGCTTCTTTTAGGTAGTGCAAGGTGAAATATTTTACTGAAGAATATTTTGCTTATGTTCTTGAATAATACATATATGGCTACAGAAGTTGGTATGCAAGTGACCCACCCGCACTCACTGTGATCAGAGGGAAATGAGTTAACATAAATACAGATCAGAGACATTAATGAGTTATATTTATCACTTGATAATGTGGTGTTCTCTGGGAAATACAGCGCTGCAAAATATAATTATATACCAACAGTAACCAGTGTTTAACATTTTGACTGGTATTTGTTTTGTCTTTGAAGAAAAATTCGGTTGCTTGCTTTGACTAGCACTTTAAAGGCAGGTGATTGAGAAAATTGTAGCATGATTATTCTCTTTGCTTTAAACTTAAAGATGAAAAATATGCGATGCGCATTCAACCTTTATTATAGCAAACATTAGTTTCCCTGAAAATTTGATCAATTTTCCCTTGTTCACCTTGCGGTGAGACATATCCTTTGGAAACTGGATGAAAGTACGGTTGATAAATCTGTTTTTGAAGATTAAGAATTCTATTTTACCGTTCCGAGTGAAGTTTGTCAATCTCCATTATGAGAGTGATTCAAAAATAAACATTTTGTGTAAAGGTGTAACGTGCTGCAGTGACATCTGAAAGTATTTGATAGAATCCCCTGTCGATTCATTTTCAACTGCCGCAGAAGAACCAGGTAAAAGTTGAGTTGATTATCAAACTGCAGTAGTTGTTCTCGGTATATCATCGCATTGTATTAGTCGCGGTATGAAAGTCGCCTCTGCAGCATTGAGTGTTCGGCATCGAAAGGCATCTTCTGACTAAACTTCAGATATTGTTAGTAACTCCTAGTCCGATTGGAATATATCCAGACCGTATTTTTTTCACTCCTACTGTCCATCCCACAGACTATTAAAAACGTTCCCCTGCTGTTCCTTCGCCTTAGTAACTTGGCGGTATTATGAGCTATATGCACATTGGAGAGATAATGAAGAAAAGGTCATTAGATTTTTTCGGATAGCTTTTTGTTTAATTTATAAAAAGAAAAGTATCGGATTTAATGGGTTGTCAGGGCATGCTTACAGTATGTAATTTTTTCCTTTTGTTTAATAAACGGTGTTAAAATTATTTCCGTGTTTGTTTTGAAACATTGTCGAAGAATTATGATGGCTAGGTTAAGTATCATGAAGAGCCTCTCCCTCTTGTGTGGTAAGCTATGAGGGGAATGCCACATCTCTTCGGGTAGATGTTGCTGTTTAAGTGAAAACCTGAATTCTTACATTTTATATTTGTCATTCTAATCTATGCTTCAATATAAAATTGAAGCAACTATCATGATTCACTGCAACAAAATAAAAAACGTATATAGCATATCTTTTACTATGCATTAAGTTTCTATTTTTGTGTTTTCACTCCTATATTATACATACACATTAGAAATAAATTGATATTGCTTATTTAACGGTTCCCAAATATTTCTATTAAAGTATTTTAATTTTTCTCCACAAGCTTTCACGCAGGTATATAAACAGCTTCGTAAGTTTTGTTATGTTAAGTGGTAATGATCGCTTTAAAGTCTTGCAATTTATGAAAAACTTCAGTTCTTCGATTTTGGTTTCAAAAAAGTGCTACAATAAATCTCATTTACTTGAGTTACCGTGTCATATTTTTACCATGTCCAATTTATTATTACAGCAGAAAATTGTTCTGTAATAATTGCGACAATTTATCTTATTTTATCGAATACAAAAGAACTGATGTTTAAATAAAGCTAATTACATGGATTCGTCCCTTGATTCACGTGCTTCGCTTGCGTCAAGAAAACCAGCAAAAGTTTTTCAAGATGCCACGATCAGCTTTGCTAGCAACTTCAGGTTACATGGCTTCAGGCACAAATTAAGGACAAATTATAATCAACCATTAACGATCTTTATCAGAAGAGGAGGAGCGAAGCAAATGAAGTCTTTAGTGAAGCACAAATAATTGTCACCTTTACGAGCTTCCCGCTGATTTTTTGTTTTGCTCTTGGCTTGCCTAGAGAGAACTTTTGTAAACAGAAATGGAATCACTTGAAACTAGCACACAGTATACCAACGATATGTGTCATAGCTTGAAATTAGCATTTGCTTGCTTTAGGAATATATTTTCAGGGGCGGATCTAGAGATATTTTCTGACAGTCTTCCAAACTATCTTTGTTTATCCATCTTCCATTTTTGACCGTCTTCCGACTTAAAAATGGATACATGTCAATGTAAACTTGAAAATCTGACCGTCTTCCGAAAGACCCAGAAGACTGCCTCAATCCGCCCCTGATTTTAATATATTAGTTGAAACTAGTATTAAAATATCTCCCAAATTTCGGTCACTGGGCTTAGTTATTCTCATACAAATGTCAATTGCGAAAAATACCTTATGATGAATTTTCGAATTTTTTTCTTTTCTCTTACTTTCGATATTTATTTATTTATTTTGTATTTTCGATGGGATTTTCTGTCTATAACATTCCATTTTTGTTATATTGTTCTTTATCTTATTTTGTACCTATTCATTTTACGACCTTCTGTTAAGTTCCATCGAAATAGACATAAAGTTTCTCTCTCTCTCTCTCTCTCTTATCATACCAACACTACATTTTTTACGGCTGCAGATATAACTTCATTGTTCAATATTTGTCTGTTTACTTCACTGGATGTGTTGAATGTTTGTTTTTCTTAGTTCACGTTTCGGTGCGGACCCACTCACAGCAAAGCTGAGGTCGTGTGCGGATTTCACACCGTTTTACGAGTCGTTGCTTCGGTGACGATTTTCGCTTACCATGATTTGACGTCCCCTAACTCTCCCTTTCTGCGCGCTTTCCTCCCTGTTGTATATATATAGATTAAGAGAGGCTTAATCGATTATGAGAAAAAAAATCGGACAACCTAGTTTTTATGAACAGTTATAGAATGTTGGCAGACGAAGAACCCTTCTTTTTTCTTCGTCGAGTGGGTGATGATTAATCGTATTCTGATTTAACAGACGTGTGAAGTGTCTGTTCAACTGTTCAGGGATTACTTCCCCAAATCGTGGCATTTCGAAGAGTTTTTGTTATTTTGTGGGAACTAGTATTTGGAAGTAGGAACTCTTTATTAATAATGTTCTAATACATAGTAAAACCGTTCTCTAACAACCGAAATTAATCCTCTCCTCCGTTACATTGAACAATCTAATAATCTGACATGATATTTCTGTATTTGTTGAATTTTGACCTTTAATAAAGGAAAAGGTTAGACATCGTGTGTATACGAGAAAACGGCTGTATGTATGCGGCGCTCCGCCATACAGGTAGCGCAGTTATTGAAAGACTTCATCACGGCGAGCACGTGTGTTGATAGGGGTCTCATTACACGCCTCAGTGGAGCTCCGCCTCCCTCGTTTAAGTCTTTAGCAAAATCAGATAAACGTCTCCTCCAAGTAAACGTTCAAGTACACCACTGAGGGCTGACCTGTCAGTGAAGATGCCACGGACTTACTGCCCGTTTAATATTTTGGAACTCAGAGAAATTGTACCCCATTACAACGAACGTAACGCAGGTAGTATTTCAACACTTTCTCGCGGTTGTCCAATACTTTTAGTAAATACACAATTTCAATAGCAGGGATTGCAAAAGCAAACAGACTTTTGTCCAAAGATTTTCACTCACACAATAAGGTCGCAGTTTAGTAGTAATTAGAGCAGAGAAGCTGGTGCTCAGGAACAATACCTGTGGAAGCCAGCTTGAGCTACCTACAGATTAAATGCCATGCACCCATGTGGGGGCTTTCAACGGCGTCTAGTAAGCAGGCTCGCCTAGCGCCGGGTCCCCAGCTATGCGAGGACAATGCAGCAAACAATAGCCTGGACTAATTGGGCGCGACTGTGGTGTACTTGACAGTGCCACTGGAGCACAAATTGACCCCCAAATTTTCAAGTCTGTCAGGTACACGCTGATGTGCCGGCAGATGGAGGAAATGAACAGATAATTTTATTTCGCTGACGCGAGATTGAAATCCTGCCAGTCAGACCGTCATTTCCCTGAAAGATTTATTGAATTAATTAACGGAATATCCATTATTTCATAGCACTCATTCTTTTTTTGTTGTTTTAATGTAATATTTAGATAACTATTTTTCATTCTATCTTATCATTTTCATCTGTGAAAATATCTTTATGACGGTCTTTTTCATAATGCATTATATCCTTTTCTTGAATAATTAACGAATTAATTAAAAACCAAGTAAAGTCCATAATAGAGATATTCAATATTTCTGATAATTCATTCCATTGAGACTTCCTTATAAAGGTCTTGATTGTTTTGTCTTTAATTCGCATTTTGCTTCCAATCTTGTAAGAATCAACCGAGGCTTCTTTTCAGTTTTCAAATACCTCTGTTCTTTCCTGTTACTCATATTTTATCATGCTTGCCAACGAGTTTTTCATGCAAACTCCAGAATGAGAATATGCTTCAAGATTTTTGACCCGCGATATATTGTCTGACATCTGTCACCCAAGATTGTGGTCAATTCATATGACAGGCATGTATTATTGGAATTTACCCACTAATTTCCCCTCATTCGATTATTCATTCGAGACCAGAGTAGCATTGATTAAATATCGTCACTTATTAAACCTCTGGATTATCTCATTGTCTGTGATTAAATTACAGAATGCAAGCATAGAACGCAACGCCAGCATTTAGTTGATAAAATACAAATTTAATTTATAACAATACTGCTTCGCATTAGGCCTCATGAACATAGATACAAAAAAGACTACAACTGCTATTACAATACAGAATACCTGTGACTGCATGAACGTTTGATTTTTAACCTTGCTAAAATGACTCTGTGTAGCTATGAGAACGTACATTTGTAAGAAGCATAGAGAGCACAAATGAAGAACCATTCAACAATAAACGAAATACCAATGCTTGTGATTTTTATAACAAAATCAGTTAAAAGTGCTGCCACCGTGCGTATAACAAATGAATCGGTTAACAAAGAAAACTGGCATGTGTACAAGTTAAGTGTATCTCTTGCCATCAAAAACCGACCTCTACCTTACACAAATATAGCCAAGTAAAGACCACGTATATTTATATATTTAAACTTGGTATTTGCCGAGAGCATTTGCTTGCAAATAGTGGCCAAATAAACACTGCCGTGTCACCGGTTATTAACCAACCTTTTGTGTATGAATCAACAAACTTTGCCCGCGGGCTCATTTTTAATACCCACTAATACCAGGCATGACCTAACTGCTCAGTTTATTATATTGATGAAAGTCAAAGTATAAATTTCGTGGTCGTCTCAACTAAATGTGGAAGCAATGGAGCTAGGTCAACGCCTTTGTTTAAATTCACATTTCACTATTTTCAACGGACAAAAAACAAAGGCCTATTTCTTGTCAATGTTTACATGAAATTGTCATCAACAGTCGTCAAATTATGTCTTAAAATTGGTCAGAACATTTTTACAAAATAGTCAGATCACATTTTGACAAGAACATCAATTTGTGCACAAAAATTTCGTTGATAACTTTCAAAAGAGTCTGAGTAGCGACGCTAACAATGAGCGCAGGTGGTCTTAACATAAGCTACCTGGAGAGTAGCTGTTTGTAGCACGTAGCAATTTGTATTCATTCTAATTGGACCTAGGTAGGACAACTATGTCCCACCTCATTAACAAAGCTTAATAAACCAGTCAGACCGGCCTTAATTGACAATACGTTGTATATCTTAAAATCTGCCTTCGACCCTATTTTATATAATTATTGCACTTTCTATTGCATTATACGAACATGAAGATAACGTCGTCTTCTTATTTTTTTTTTCAGTGTCTTGGGATGAAGGCAGACTTTCAGTACATAAAGTTGACGTCGAAGCTGTCTTTTGAAGACTTAAATAACTTTAAGATCAGTGTATTGAACCATTATGAGTATTTAACTGGAGAGCTTTGGCTCTGTTCCGTAAAAAGATTAAATAAATAAGCTCTTTCGCACTTGTCAGATCTACACATGACTTAGGGGTAACTGCTTGTTTTGCGCGTAACCAACGTTCACAAATTTTGCCCGTGATTGGTCCGTCTGTGAATTCCTATTGAACAGTCTTGCATAAAATCTTTTCCAGCTTCCTAATGTTTTTCCACTCCAAATCCAAAAGCCCGACGTTATTCCCACAACTAAGCACATGAAATATTTCAACATATACACAGAATAGTCAGGCTTAACATTATCAGAATGACATGGACAGTTATGCGCTCTCTCCCAGCGCTCTTTGAAATGCTGTTCGTAAAAATAGCATGCTATAACAATAGTTGCGGGGACAGTGTAAAGAACTGAAAACACTCCTATACGAATCATTAATTTTTCCAGTTTGTCAGTTTTTTGTCCACCCTGTTGTTTGATGACACTTCGAATTCTGAACAAAGACACAAAGCCAGCGAGAAGGAAGGTTGTCCCCAGGATGAGATAGGCGAAAAGCGGCGCCAGTACGAAGCCGCGGAGATTGTCAAGATTCTGGCTGCCGACGTAGCATATTCCGGCGACTGGGTCGCCATCCACGGCAGAGAGGGCTAGTACGGCTATGCTCTTTACTGACGGTATCAGCCAGGCGGCTAGGTGAAAGTATTGAGAGTAACTTTGTATTGCTTCTTGTCCCCACTTTAGTCCAGCGGATAAAAACCAGGTGAAGGACAAGATGACCCACCAGATAGACGACGCCATTCCAAAGAAATAAATGAGCAAAAATACGACCGTGCAAGCAGCCGGTCCCGTAGTTTCATATCTTATCACGTTTTTTTCACAAGCCACAGCATCATGTCCCATAATAAGTCGAATTATATATCCTATGCTGACCATCAGGTAACATGCGCTCAGGAATATAATGGGTCTTTCAGGGTACTTAAACCTCTCCATGTCAATGAGGAAAGTACTAACAGTCATTGCAGTGGAAACACAGCAAAGAATGGACCATAATCCGATCCAAAACGATGCGAACGTCTTTTCGTCCTGGCTAAAGTAGGCCCCATGGCAGTTCATGGCACAATTGGGGCTGCCTCCAGTTGTAAGGAGATTATAGTAAGTGTTACTGTCGTCGGTAATGTGAATCATTGGTGCACGGCAACGACAGCGGCAATCTCTGGCAATACTCTTGGTTGGTTTGGGTGCTGGGCGCTCGGTTACGGTGTTCTTGGGCTTGGGGGTCTGTGTGCTTTTCTCTGTTGTGTTTGAGTCCATGCATAAGTTTTCCTTGTCCCCAAAAACAGGAAGATCTTCACATTTCATTCTTTCTGGCCATGCAAAGCCGTATTGTCTCATGAGCGGTGCGCAGCCTGCCTTGGCCCTCTCACATACAGATCTACACACCGGTAGGGGCTTGTTGTAGTTTTTTATACAGATCGGCGCGTACATACTACACAAGAAAAACTTCAAGTCCGGTGAGCACTGAATCTCGACCAAAGGCCAAAACTGATGAACTTCAAGTCCGGCCTCCTCTTGTGAATCGTGGTTGAACTGGTTGGGCATGTACGTGAAGTTATATCCGATGCCCTTGCACATAGGGATGGTTATTTCCTGGCAAGTTCTCTCCTCGCCACCCCCAGCATACACAGTCTGTGAGACGAGGGCAACTGTCAGCCATACCACACCACACAATGTTAGTCCCCAGTCCATATTGGAAAACGTGTGCGATGGACAAACAAACAGTATATATATATACACACACACAGTGTGCTCTCTAGAGGCAGAAGGAAGCACTGGCACTTTTACTTACTGGATTTTATTTTCCGTGTTGCTGGCGTAGTGGAAGACGAGCTGGTTAAATTTTCCGCTGATTTCCCTCAATCTGACCCCTTCAGACTTCGTGAGAACCGCCGACCAAGTCCTCCCTCTTCTTTTGGCAGCCCGTTTCTAGTCCGGCTAGCGTGTTTGTGAAGAAACTGTACCGAGCAAAGAGGCTTAGCTAGTTTCCTGAATGGGGGGGATTAAGTCGTGACATTCACTTACTTCGGATAAATGGATCGACGGCGTAGTTCAGCAGCAGCTACCGTGCTTCCATAAGTAAATACGTGGGCTCCCGCAGTAGTGTTCGTTGTACCGGGTTCCAGTGATCCGCGCTCTCCACATACGTGTTGTCAGTTCGTAGGCAGCGACGGGTCTGATGTGAATCTGTGCCAGTCCACTGATTTTGCCCAGGAGTGCAGGAGGCCAATTAAACACCAGTCCACCTTAGCTGTCAATGCGTCTCTCACACCTTCATTCCATTGTGCACCTTTCACATATCTGTCAACTCATTAAGTGTATTGACAGGTGACGTCACGCGTCACTCAAGTCAATGATACACCAATTAGGATAACAATACACAACGTGACGTCACCTTAATCTGGCAACCTTCTGTTTAATCCTGCAGTTTTGAGGAAGCTCTGGGAGCACCTGAAACGACATTTAAAATGGATATCGATTTTAAAATGTTGTTGAAGAACTTTTCCAATTTTATACATTTTGCTAAAATGAAACATTTGTCACGTGGAAGGTGCATTCTTGGTATTCAACAAATAGGTACAAATTTCCCTTATGAGAGCTTTTGTGTAAACACAGAATAATAGTATTTAGTGCGTGGTGTGAATGCAGAGCGAAAGATTTTATCAATTTTCTTCATTTTTGTTTACTCCGCTAAAAGATGGTTATTGTGCGCGAGAGGCCGCGCGTGAAAGGAGCTTTATCCCCGCTTGAGCTGAACGACCGCAGCAAGTTGGGGCTCTAATCACACTGATATTTAAGAACGGATAAATATGAAATGTAACGGATTTTATTTTCAGTTACACCAGCGTCGATGGGACCGTCACACATCTTTTTTATTATACTGCGATGCGTAATGGGAGCCTGGCGATCATCGGGTCAGACCCCGCCCTGGTAATTTACCCAACCATTCCTAATGCGGCACTAATCCGTTAGTTGTTTTTGTTAACAGAGCGCTAATAGAGCTCCCGCTATTATTTCTTTTGACAGGTTTGCAGACAACTTAATGACAATCTTATTGTCGGGCTGTCATACGGTCTGGGTTAAGGACTTCACCGTATGTCAACGGTAAAAGAGAGAATTAATTCTACTTTTCTGTGCTTCCGTAATTATCAGACTCTTAGAGGCAATTACATGCTTCAACGTCTGCAATTACTGTTCAATATGCGGGAAATGATAGCCAACCCTCAGCAGGACCGGCCAGAGAACCTCAACATGACACTTTCTTTAATATTCTGATATCAAAGTTTTGCCATTAGAGCAGGTATCAGCACAGAGAGCTTACAAACACTAGGGGATTTAGAGCTGAGAAAAATAAAGGAGAGAAACACCAAAGTGATTTTTACACATTTTCCCTGATCGATCTCCCACCTGCCCCAAGTAATAATTATGTCATCACAAGTAGTTGCAGTTTAGTTAATAATTCACGGGAGGAATTGTTGGCGATTGTCGCGCTCTCTGGGTGTCCTTCCTAATTTCTCCCATCTCACACTTGTGGGGCGACACTTACTCCTCCAAGACTAAGGTGTTGACAATCGACCTGCCAGAGAGCTCACATAACAACTTGGTAGGGGACGAATTACCTCCACTTTGCGCGCGATGGAGAGGTTTCTTGAGTGTAAATTTTCTCCTCAATAGGAGTGGCAGGTGAAAGTCCATAGGTCCTAATCACAGGTGTGTGAGAGAGAGCGACACCAAATTATTGTCACTCTTTCATCTTAATAGACCTATAAATCCCCAATGAAGAAAGATGGGACAAATGAGTGTGCCAAGTGATTCTTTCAAACCGCATTGTATTCCACGGCTCTCACAATCCCCCCGTTTTCTTGACAGTTGTCAAAAACGGTAGTTTAAATATGCAAAGTGAAGGATGTGTCACCGCTAAAATCTATGTGCCATACCCCCAACTTATACACAATGACATAGTTCGAACCTCTCGAGAAAGAAAGGAAGGTTATTAGCGCACAATTCAATGTCAAATGCTAGACTTCAAGTGGTAAGCCTCGGGAGTTTGCAATTCTTTTTTAAGCTGTGGCACGGAGAAAGTTTTTCTCAATCTTAAATATAAACTACAGGTGTAGCGTAGTCAAATACTCAATTCTCATGCGTACTAATCCGTTTGGACGCTTACACGAGCAATAACAGGTCTGAGACTACATTTAGAGAAAATGCTGTAACCGTTGATTTCGCGCTATGAAAAAAACGCGATTCCATACATAACATTTTCCACGTAACTAGGCTAGTCGTCGATGTAAGCACGTCAAAGACGATTATCGACATTCCTACTCAAGGTTTGGCATTTCCAAAAAAGAACTTTTTACCTGTCTTCAAGTGATTTCTGTGTCAGTCTTAAACTGTTCTTGACACACCCTTGTCAAAAAGATTGTGACGAGAGCGTTCTGTCTAAGAAGAACGCGGGGAACAATGGCATGGAGAAGTGCCACTTCACATACGCAGGTGACGACTCGTAAAATAAATTAAGGATTCGCTTGAAAGGGGAGTTCAAAAAGCAAGATAATCACCTTCCATTTTTATTTTCTCAAGAGAAAGACAGATCAGAAAAACAAAGAAAGAAATGCGCCTTCCCGAGCGCTTTATGTTTTACTAGAGTCATTATCGTTTCAGCTGACAAAAATATGGCCGATTGCGGCTTGTCAAAACTCCTCTTGAACACAAAAATACAACAAAAAAGTTTGGCATTGACAAATCTCTCCTTTCAAGCCGCCATGTTATACCTTTGATGGCGCGTCACCTCAGGAGACAACAATCACCAGCTGTCAATTCATGTTAGCGTCTTTGCTTTCATACACGTTCGAATACGCTTTGAGACAAGTTTGACTTGATAAATGACACAATTTATTTGACACATTTTTGGCTCTTGTTTCAAACAAACAACGTGAGCGTTTAATTTGGGTGATTGATCAATTTGACATAGAACGCCAACAGTGTGTTTGATATGTCAGGATTGTCCCCTCGACCAAACAAACACGCCGTGTCCATAACGTAGTTACCACTTGGCATTAAATGTCATGTCCTTTTGGCAGAATTACTTATACACATACACTATTATATGCCCTAAAATGTTATGAACAGTTTGACATACATATTTGGAAAATCTGTCTCATAAAGACGTGTCAAAAGCAGATAGGCCTAAAATAAAAGTTCCGTCTAAAACTTCACGAGCAATACAAAATATCGCGCTTTATTTACGGACAAATTGAACAATTATGATCCCTTTTTTACTTTTACTTTAATATCCAAATCGCGTTTTTTTTTCAGACTGTCTATGTACTGAACGTCCATCCTTTTTGCTTTAATGCCCGTCTGCAAGGAATAAGAACTCCATAAACAAATGCATGAATATTTATTTTTTGTTTTCACATTAACACCATGTCCTTCCTTTCCTAATGGAGGTGCACATCTTTTCTAGAATATACATGTATATATATATTTCTGAATGTTACCAGCTGCAAGCCAATATATCATGCTTAGAGACGCTCCCTGCCCCACCGCTGGCAAAAGTGTCACCTTCATCTACGCCAACACGCCATGCGTCGCTACCTTTTGAAGAGCCACTTCAAAATGGAATTTTAAAAGCGAAATAGTTTCGTTGTTCTCAGCATTGTTACTGAAGACTTCCCGGTTGTCAACGGTGCCAACAAGCTCTCTCCATGCTGAGAAAACTGAGCTAAGCTCGACAACTCTTTTTTCTAATACTGAATACATTTTTGGCATTTGTCGCTACATTGGACACCGAGCGATGAAAATAGTAAAGAAAATCTCGACGCTCAAACTTAACAACCGGTTTACTATTTCTTTTGAAGGACTTTTCTTCTGAAAAAAAAATAATGTTGACGTGTCTACTGGCGATACATCAAATGGGAGAAATAATACGCAACAGAAAAAAAGACAAATTCTACAAATGTCTCTTCTCATTTGCCCCGATAAGCGTGGCAGTATTGGTATACTGAAGCACACTGTATAGAAGCCGGTTATTAATCCAGCTAAACACCAGCTAGTCTGATCTATTTGCTCTGAAATCGACAACTGGGATGTAATATAATATTTGGTCACTTATGTCAAGGTGAGTGACAGGCCCACGGTGGAAGCCCGTTGAAGTAGCACATTCTCGGCAGAGGTGCCTAACTCCTATAGATCACAAGTGTTTACAGTGGCCTCCAAGCTTACTCGTGTCAACAATTTATTTACTCGGAGCCCTAATGTTATGACAAAGGTTGAAACACACGCGTTAATGAACTGTACCTCATGGTGTCGCTGTTTAACTATTTCTTTGATGCGATCGATATAGCGGTGTGATACGAATACCTTCACTGTAAAAAGTGGGGTTAAGTAAATCCGTAAGCTGCGGTAGTTTTACAATTATCACGTCCCCCGTATTAAAACCCCGCCGATACAAGGGTACAACTATGAGCACAAGTGGACCGATGAAGGCATTTAACAACCCATACAAAATGTGTATAAAGTGTTTGTTTACCTTGGTCTCAATCAGAAACCCTAGCACAGGTTCTTACAGTTTCGATCGGTTTAAAATCACTTTTCCGCCCCTGAATTATCTACTGTTCTCGCTTTACATCATGAATATCCGCACGCTGTAAAGTCAAGGTTTTTAACTATCAGCCGTCCTTCTCTCCTGGCATCACATATATAAAATCAGCTCGACATTCTCAAGTGTCCACGGTTCTTATGTCACCTGTGTATGCGACAACACTGAAACCACACTGACCGCAAATCATTACCAGGTTAAGTTAGTACAGTAACGATTAACAAACCCCCGTGTGCTGTTATTTATTGTTGGTGGACGCAGTTTCCTTACATTTTCAGTTATCGATCTCGGGTCTCGGGTTAGATATCGATATTCAATAACCGTGTGTAAGCTTACCTGCTGAATTGACAGAACGTGTAATATGACGCCATTAAGATTAACAGGGAAATCCGATGTCAAGATATTAACTCTATGTCAAGCATAGAAAATGTATTGTGAAATTTAAAATGTATTATCAACTTATCAATATAAATGAGTAACAAGAGATTATCAGCACATTCGTGTTACACACAACTCTCATCCCAATATAAAAGACAGAACTTTTTTAGGTGCTTATAGAAGTGCAGGCGATTAAATAATATAATTTTTTAACACTACTTTCCTGCAGGCTATCAATCTTCTAGCTTTAGTTACATTACTAAAACATATTTTTCGTCTGAATATAAGACCTTATCTATCAATTATTTTTAAATTATCTAATTTGAAAATGATATTTAATCTAAAATGATATCTAATTTAAAATGATATTTTATTCAAAAATTATATTTTATTTTAAGTATTCCAAAAGTATTTTGTCGGTTACGCGGGTTATTGAGAGGTTCATCCTTTAGTTTTCCTACTACCAACAGTTGTTGTAATATGTATGCTATCAATATTGAAGAGATATTATTAAAAAAAATAACTTCAAAGACAACATTTCAACTTCAAAGGAAAGCTTCGCTTCAATCTCTCCGCTATATTTCATACCATAGGAAATACTGGAATTGTTGCATTTTGATCATACAGTATGATAACAAAAGCAATATTTTAACATCAACATGCCGAGATGTCCTTTCTATCACTCAGTCTTAATTTCATCGATGCTTTTTTTTAAATTTATTTTCTCTGCTTCGAGAAGAATGTTGCGGATTTCTCATCAAGAGCTAGTTCTAGGAATTTAGTTTTTGTTTTCAAGTAAATATGTGAAAGTTTCCTTGACTGCAGAATGGGTGCCTTGCTATCGATTGTAAGAATGATACACATAAGGTTATTAGTAAAGCTAACAGAGTTACAAGGGTCTTGTTTGACCTTCATGGGTAGTCTATTGATATATCTCCCGGCTATTCAGAGGCTTTGGAAAAGATGAAAAATGGCCTCGAATCTGAGCTTCTGCACGTCTTTCACGGAAGCTGCGTTGGACCGTGCACGCTCCGAGAACGTTAATTATCCTCTTTGGCATAACTAATAGCTCGTGACGGCGTAATAAAGAAAGGAAACGTGGTATGAACAGCGTAAGCATAGATTACAAGATCACTGCATATAATGTTAACTCGCACTTTGGTCTTTAAGAACCTTTTGAAAAGTTGGTGCTTATATGTTAGGCAGAGAGATGTCATTTATTTGCAGATCTTTTATGATATTAAACATATATATTTATAAGTACAAAAATTAACGAGATATCGTTTTTCTTACCTTTCTGTAAGAATAGAAATCTTAATACTTTTTAGCAAACGGATTGCTGGAGGAGATATCAGAATACAGCACAAAACAAAATGTGATATATGTCTGAGCCAAAAATGTTAGCCCACTTTTCTTTTACGGCATCATACTACGACGAGATATACTGGAAAGGGCGGGTTTCTGTACAGAAAAAAAATTTTTTCAACTGACCATGATAAGACTTAGTTTTGACATGTTTTAAGACCTTTAACTGCATTAAAATGGAAATTCAAGATCGATTACGACAAGTTATTATAAGAGATGGCAATGCAGATATGATTTAGGAATCGATCTTGGACACAATTTTTTAAATGAAAAATATATATAATGGAAAAGCACTATAAAGCGTGATCATAATCCGCTCCATGTGACATATCGCGCCAAAACTTTGCCCCCATGCCATTAAGCAACACTGGTTGAGAAAACGCGGGATGAGATAGAGATACTCGATCGGTTTAGCTGGTTTTACCTATTCGTTATAAACGAGTATACTGCCGCAATGCTTGAACACTTCGTCGGCGTTGGCTTGCTGATCGGAACAGAACAAGCAGTTAATAACAAGGGGAAGTTTAAGACCCTCATGTATTGGAACATAGCACGTGAAGAACGTGCGTGCGTGCCAGTGATCACGGGGAATAACACCGCTCTCGTGCGAATCCGACTTCTAAGAAAAACACATACTTAAATTTCATCGTACTCACCGCATTTTCCTGACCGTAGTGAAGATCTCGTGAATATCTTATGTACAGATTCGTGTTAAACGTTCTGAGCTACCAGTCACAGCTGTCCACTCGCTGGCAATAAAATAACAAGATTCTAGGAATTGCCACAAACACGTTCAGGAAATGCTTGTGCCTTTTCTCACTACACTTTGCAATCCACACAACATAACCAACTTGCCTATGTTCATCAAACTTAATAACACGACATCTATATTGCCGATCTTCAGCACTCACCTTAACACTCACGCATGGAGATCTATCATATATGCCAAGTACACATATACACACTTACATATATGTATGTAAATAAATGTGTTTCCACCTACGAATGAGAAAAAGATGATGCATGTTACCTTTCAGCCTTAGGTATCTCAGGTAAACCTTGAAAGCAGCACTAGAGCGCCTGTCCTTGTAGTAAAAAGCGTGCAGTTGGCAAGGTCTCCTCTCACACCTGGGGTGTTAATGGTGGAGTGGGGAACGCTTGCAGCACCAGAATCACGCAACACGCAGGGATAATGAAACATTTGTACTCCTTGTCTGTTTGTTGCTTCGATTAAAAGTACGACCCCAAGAATATCGTGCGGTTATCTAAATACAAGTTATTTTGAAGCTTTCTTTGATACAATATGTGTAAAAAAAGACACAGTGATTATTTATCACTTCCGACTGACTAAGCGCATCCCTTGTTCTAGCAATATTTCATACTATTTAACACATTTTTATGCCTTTGAAACCAGTCTAAATTTAGTACATGTACAGTGTTTTTTCCTCAGCCATGAACACCGGTTGCTTTAAATAGACAAACTACAACTTTAATTTAGAGATGAAGTCTCATATCGCCACTCTCTCTCTCTTTCTCTCTCCTAATTTTTCTCCCTTTTTTTCTTTCTTCTTTTATGATTCTTTCGATATAGACACATATTTCAGTGTATTTCCTATCTTTAAAGATAAGTAACATCTAAAGGACAATGTAAAGGACAAGTTAACAAATACATATACTTGCTAAGTCATACTACCCTCCGCAGAGTTTTGGATCTTCCCCAGGGTAATTTGAATACCCCAAGGATTAGGCTACAATAACCTGCAGATAAAGAAACAATGCCCCCGATATTGAGCAACAAAGATCGTAATTCTGATTAAATAATTTATCAAAACTAAAATAGTTATACAGGCGTCTGATAAACGACGAGCAGACATAGGAATTGGTTAAATATGTAGCTTCCATGGAATTTAATCAAGAATAAAAATAGCGTTCCTCATTTCCCCTTGCTTAATGAGCTAATCTTGGCCTCCATTTGCTTTGTTCTTATGATTGACTTTAATACACATTTCAGTAATGTTGGTGATATTACCCCGTCATTTCCCCCTTCCAATAAAATGTGAATAAAAGAAGAGCTTTCGTTAAGTATAAGGTAAACAGCATTTACACATCCTCAACATCAAATGACACGACTTCTGATTTGCGTGGCATTTTAACGATCAAGTTAAGTGGTTATTTTGGTGAACGCCGACCCCTTCCAGAGAGGAAAGTGTCCCCAGGTCATTGTCTATCTCATCTGTCACTTCCATAGTTAAAGTGACAGTGATTATTTTGAACATTATGTATAAGCACCCATGGGTAAAAATTTCTAAAATGCTTGACACTCAAAATCCTCGTTTCTCTGAAAGCCTCTTTATTTTGTTGGATTAAGCTCTAAAAATCCGCTTAAGTTAGTTTCTATAATAACTACATATAAATCCATATCTCTAGTAACGAACTCATAGGGGTCTCCATCGCTGACCGACGTCAGTTCAAATTGACCACCTGGTACATTTTACAGGGTGTCACGCCAGATTTTAATATTTTCGAGAAAGATTAATACACCTTCCAATGCATGTATATGAAAAAGTTGAATAGGTAGGTAAAACAAAAGACAAAACAGATAATGTATGAGTGAAATTAAAAATAAATTAAAGACGGTAATTGACTTTGCGAGACCAATAACATCTCTCTCTCTCTCTCTCTCTCTCTCTCTCTCTCTCTCTCTCTCTCTTAAACATTCATAACAAATTGCCAGGGTTGCTCTGTTCCAATCTGTTGAAGGCTTACACGTAGAACAGCCAGAGTCATCAACATTTTAAAACTAAATACCCACAAGTCTAACGTCTAATCCTACTATAGCCAAGATGGAGTGAGAATGAAAATTAAGCACAAATACCTTAGATAAAGTCCAAGAAAGTGCCCAAATTCACTCCGGTAACGCACCTGTGTTCTGTTGGTGTCCTTTCAAGTAGAATATGAACGCGTTCAGCGCTGTCACAGGTATCTCGCTCACCTGCCAGCGATACAAGCATATTAAATGCGGGGAGAGGACAGAGAAGGTGGAAGGCACAAAACTACATTTGTTAAAAAGAAAGAAAGAAAAGAAATGAATGATAAATTGATGATGACGACGATAAGATTAATATATATTAAAGACAAATAGATTGACAAAAATTTCCCGAAGTATAATAAATTCAGTATTTAAGGCATGTCTCACAGCTGCATGTGAGTTATCAGTTAAATTGCATTCTTTAGTCTAGATCATTTTGGTTTGAATTAGAGAATAAACGGTTCCTCTTGTCAATTTCCTCATGGAAATCATACATGTTCGTAATTACAAATAATATTTTCGTTTGCGTTTTATCAATCATGAATGCACTGCAGTGGAACATTGATGCTTTG